CAGATTGACAGCTACTTGTGAGACGATCTCCCTAGAAGCTTCGTAAAGGTACGTGTTGTGATGACTGTATTTGCTTCTCCTGTCGCGAGTCCGGATCACTCAGTGATGATACTATATACCTACATAATCTATGGAGTCTCAGCTTTAATCGGATATATTGTATGTGCAGCTATGATAAGTAATAAGGGTACTTTTATCTTGAGTTCTGTGCCAATGTCCGTTAGCATTTTTCGCTCAGGGGTAATTTAGATGCTTCTTGTGAGACTTGTGTTTTGTTTTGGTAAACATGGTTTGTATCGGCAGTTAGCTGAGATTATTTCCGTTAATCTGGTATAACACATTAATAGGTTCTTAGATATTAAGATCCCCTGAGACACAGTATCGTGAAAACAATTCCCAGGGTCCCCGCCGGCGGGGACCTTCGGGCTTAACAGGTTAAGGTGCTTGTTCAAAGCCAGATAGAAGAGTCTGCACACCGGGCATTTGGACGACATCCTTACTAAAACAGACACAGTGAATTGTATTTTATTTATTTTCTGTTTCTCCATTTATATGCGTTAGCGGAACCAGTGATTGCAACAATGCTTCAATGCATGGTACACGGACCAAGGGAGGACTTGGGTTACAACCGGGTTAAATGGTCCCACCTCCGCACCAATGGCTGGTGATGGCAACATTGGGTCCGATGCATCAATTCAAGGTGCCCCGACCATGAGAGGGTTTGGGGTGCCCCGGAACCAGGCAGTACCCCAGCAGGAAACACGTTTTATGGTCAAAGGAGGAAAGAGTGATAGAACCTGGGTAAAGCAAAGAAAGTGTCCGACAATAGTGACTTGTGAGGTGGCCAGAGAGTCTGTCATCTCTCGGTCCTATCCTCCAGGCAATGCGGTACCAGAACTGGGTCAAATTGACCAAAATGTAAACAAAATAAGTTTCAATTCATCCATTGAAAAGGGCTGAAATTGAAAAAAAGTATCCAAAAATAGTGCATCATGAGCCCGCAAGATTCCCCTGTCAACTCCCCTTGCATTCCTCCACAGTCAGAAAAAGTCTGAGTTCACTTTTTGGAGATCCATAGAAAAGGGGTGAAAGTGAGAAAATGTATCCGAAAATAGTGTCTCATAAGGCGGATAGAGTCCCCTGACAACTCTCCTTACATTCCTCCAGAGACCAGTTCAAAAACTTAAAGTTTGGTAAGAACCATGCTGGGGGGTCTCTCGGAAACAAATTCATCCGAGCCAGAGTGCACTAGGAGCGGACACATTCCTCCATGAAGTGAGACAGCCGGTTTTTTTCTGAGTCCTCTCAAAAACTGGGTTTCCGAATTCATGCGGACAGTAGCTTGAAAATGATGAATGCATTTGGGGCTTGATTTCCCCTCTCCGTTGTAAGTTGCAACGGGGGAGTGGAAAAGTGTCCGGGGCTTTGACCGGAAGCGCCGACAGGTTGAGCTTTTCAAAGCCCCTTCTCTGTTGGCAATTTTTTTTAAACTTCATTTTTGATTATTTTAAGATATAATTTACCGTTTTCTTTACTTGTTTCTTCTTTCCACGGGTGGGGGCGCATGGCAGGCCGCCTATGAGCTCCCAAATTCGGCCTGGACCCTCCAGTATTTGTGGGCTAAGCTCCATAAACTGACAAAGTCACCTAGAAATGTCACTTTTATAGCCCAAAAATATATAATACAAATGCATTTAAATAGTACAAGGTACAATTGTGCTCCGAATTACCCGGAATTTGATTTATATAGCCCCATGATAGTGAATACAAATCATTTTCTTGGAAAAAAGTGTTAAAAAGCCTGATTAAAGCATATGCAGGACCCCAGTGAGCTCCAGACTATGTGCATTGTGTAAGGAAAATGTCTGTCTTATGGACAGAGTTAACATGGGACTTGTCCTTCAAATGTACTGATGTCCACACAATGGAAATGTGATGTCAACTACCAATGCAAATTCCCTGCCACCGGCTGGATGTCAAGGAGAGACTCTGAGGCATGAACTCAATTGCACGACACAGATAGTGTTCTCAAAAAATAAAGACTTTACTGGAATTTTACACAGTAATCAAAACAAGGAAAACAAATATACTCTTTCGAGGAAAACTAGCAAGTGATCAATGAGGTAGATCCGTGGGAAGTCCGTGAGGTAATCAGGAACGTGGGTCATAGTAAGACAACAAACTGACAATGAACAGGAGGAAGCTACCACAATATATACACAGGTAAAGGGGACACAGGTGGAAACAATCAGGGCGGGGAAAACAATCAAGGACGCAGGAGACAGAAGGGGGCGGGGAGCGTGGAGGCCTGAAATGAGAGGGATGATTAATTAAGGGAATAAACATAAAGCACAGGGCAAAGGGACATGACAAAACTAACATAAATAATACACTTGAACTATTAGTTTCCTAGACATGACAGTACCCCCCCTTCTAGGGACGGCTCCTGACGGCCCAGGCTCCTCTGAGTTGAGGCGGTCCAAATCCTCAATGAGGCTTTTATCTATGACGAAGCGGGAAGGAATCCATATCCGCTCCTCAGGACCATAACCCTTCCAGTCAACCAGTAGCTGTCGCCCTCTACCCCTTTTCCGACTAGCCAATATCTTCTTGACGGTGTAAACCGGACCTCCATCAATCATCCGGGGGGACGGGGGGGGGGGTTTGGCGGTGGGAACCATAGCGCTCTCCTTGAAGGGTTTTAGTTTCCCTACATGGAAGGTGGGATGTACCTTCATGGACCTGGGAAGCCGTAGTCTCACTGAAACCGGGTTGATGACCTTGGTGACGGGAAAAGGACCCACAAACCGGGGAGCCAATTTACGGGAGAGTACGTGGAGGGGAAGGTCTCGTGTAGAAAGCCAGACTTTTTGGCCTGGCTGGTATACAGGAGCTGGTCGGCGTTTTCGGTCTGCTGCTCTTTTCACCAGTTGTGAATTCCTGCAGAGGATCTTCCTAGCCGCAGCCCACACGCGCCGACAACGCCTGACCAGCGCGTGGGCAGACGGGACCGTGACCTCCCTCTCCGTGGCTGGGAACAGTGGCGGCTGGTAGCCATAAACACAGTGAAATGGGGACAGGCCCGTGGCAGAAGTAGGGAGGATGTTGTGCGCATACTCAACCCAGGTGAGGTGCTCGCTCCAGGAGGATGGATTCTGGGACACCAAGCAGCGCAAACAGGTCTCCAGTTCTTGATTTAGGCGCTCTGTCTGGCCGTTAGACTCCGGATGGTATCCTGACGAGAGACTGACCGTGGCACCGATGAGGCGGCAGAACTCCTTCCAGAAGTGTGACACAAACTGGGGGCCCCGGTCGGAGACAATATCCTTTGGGAAACCATGAAGCCCAAACACATTATGCATCATGACCTCAGCCGTTTCCTTCGCTGAGGGCATCTTGGGCAAAGCAATGAAATGTGTCATTTTAGAAAAACGGTCCACTACCGTAAGAACTGTGGTTTTACCTCTAGAGAGGGGCAGGCCAGTGACGAAGTCCATGGAGATCTCTGACCAGGGTCTGTTGGGAATAGGGAGTGGTTGTAATAGTCCTATTCGCACCCTGGAAGAGGTCTTGTTTCGAGCGCAGACAGGGCACGCCTCCACATACTCCTTCACCTCCTTCTCCATGGATGTCCACCAGAAACGTTGTTTTATGATGAACATAGTTCTCTTGACTCCAGGGTGACAGGTGAGCAGCGAAGTGTGAGCCCAGTGGATCACCTGTGGTCGCTCGGCCTCCTGAACGAAAAGCCGGTTAGGCGGGCAACCCCTTGGTGCAGGAGCTCCAGCATTGGCTCGTATTACCTCCTTCTCTACTGACCAAGTCAGCGCTCCTACCACCCGGTTTAATGGGATGATGGGTTCCGGCTCCTTGACTGCAGGCACAGGGTCAAACAGACGGGACAGAGCGTCAGGCTTGACATTCTGAGACCCCGGCCTGAAGGAAAGAACAAAGTCAAAACGGTTGAAAAACAAGGTCCACCTAGCCTGGCGGGAGTTCAGTCTTTTGGCCTTTCTTATATATTCCAAGTTTTTGTGATCGGTCCAAACCACGAAAGGATGCTTGGCTCCCTCCAACCAATGCCTCCACTCTTCCAGTGCCAGCTTCACGGCCAGCAACTCACGGTTTCCCACGTCGTAATTTCTCTCTGCTGGGGAGAGCTTCCTGGACAGGAAAGCGCAGGGGTGAAGTTTGTTGTCCTTCTGTAGTCGCTGGGAGAGGACCGCTCCCACCCCTTCGTTGGAGGCATCCACTTCTACCACAAACTGACGAGTGGTGTCCGGCAAGGTGAGTATGGGAGCAGAGGTGAACATTCCTTTAAGCCGAGAAAAAGCCTCCTCAGCCTGAGGAGACCACAAAAAAGGCACTTGAGGGGACGTGAGGACATGAAGAGGGGCTGCAATAGCACTGAACCTCCGCACAAAACGTCTGTAAAAATTTGCAAAGCCTAAAAACTGCTGCACTTTCTTACGAGAGTCAGGGGTAGGCCAACAAGCTACTGTGCTAACCTTCTCTGGGTCCATCCTAACCTGACCTGGCGAAATGATGAAGCCCAAGAAAGTGACTGTCTACATGGAATTCGCATTTTTCTGCTTTGACAAACAACCTATTCTTGAGCAGCTCTTGTAGAACCTGGCGGACATGTTGTTTATGGGTGTCAAGGTCAGGAGAGTAGATCAGAATGTCGTCCAGATATACAAAAACGAAACGGTTCAGAAACTCCCTCAACACGTCGTTGATCATAGCCTGGAACACAGCAGGAGCGTTTGATAATCCAAATGGCATTACACGGTATTCATAGTGGCCTGAAGGGGTGTTGAAACCCGTCTTCCATTCATCACCCTCCCTGATCCTGACTAAATGATAAGCATTACGCAGGTCTAACTTGGTGAAAACCTTGGCTCCCTGAAGCTGCTCGAAGGCTGACGAGATGAGAGGAAGGGGGTACCGGTTTTTAACCGTAATGTCATTGAGATGCGAGTAGTCAACACTCAAAAAAATGATTCAAGCCCTTCTTAGACTTGACACATTAAAAATGGTTTCACTTTACTTAAATATTTTTATTTAAGAAATAAACCTAAGTATAGTTCATTAGTGTAACACAAATTACATTAATCAATTCACTTATTAAATGTATTTAAGACAGAGCAACTCAAAATGAATTGTTTTCATTGGGGACCGCCCCTTTGCACACCCCCTTTGCGTATGCGCAACATCCGTTCTGTCATTTGCCGCCTTTTGTCTAACACTGACTGTGGAAACTGACTGGGGAAACTGACGGTGGAAAGTCTATTATTTGGTAAGTATTTGTTTTTTCTAGTAGTTTAGAATGTTCCCTGTTTCCAAGTAATGCCTTTTCATAATATCGACAAGAATATTTGAAACCACCGTGTTATATTTTGCTCCGTTTTTAGTTGGGTCTAAACAGCAAGCTAGCTAGCTAGCTTGCTAGATATGGTTAGCATTGAATACTGGATAGTAGAGATCATTAGATTATATTACATTAGATTTAACGTTATTGTCATTGAACACAGTACACCGAAATTCAGTTTAAGTTCAACCAAAAAATGCAACGAGTAATTAAAGTGCATGAGGTAAAGCGGCAAGCTAGCTAGCCAGATAACTGGTTTGTTAGCTAGCTTGCTAGATACGGTTAGCATTGGATACTGGATAATGGAGATCATTAGATTATATTACATTCGATTTAATGTTATTGTCATTGAACACAGTACACCGAAATTCAGTTTAAATTCAACCAAAAAATGCAAAGAGTAATTAAAGTGCATGAGGCAAGCTAGCTAGCCAAATAACTGGTTTGTTAGCTAGCTTGCTAGATACGGTTAGCATTGAATACTGGATAATGGAGATCATTAGATTATATTACATTCGATTTAACGTTATTGTCATTGAACACAGTACACCGAAATTCAGTTTAAATTCAACCAAAAAATGCAAAGAGTAATTCAAGTGAATGAGGTAACAGTATAGGAGGCAGAGCCTGCATGCAAGGGCTGCCATTTTCTATCATAAAGCTCAGCAGGTGTGTCCATCTCTCTCCTGGCCTTAGTGCAGGCAGGCAGAGGAGGACAGGCGGAGCCACTCGTTTCTGTAGGAGTTCAGTTGAGTTTAGTTTTTTACTGCCAAATATTTAATATAAATAATGAGATAATATATATGTGAATCTTGTATGGGTTACTTCACTCACAAGCAGGCACCCAGAGTTGTGCAGAAACGTTTTTTGGGTTGTGCAATCTTAGGCAATTATGTGTTTTCTGTGAAAATTCAAATATATAAGCATTTTAATCACACCTCTAAAATATATTTGTTGTCTTTTGCAGTTTGATCAGCATTAACAAGCACCTTGGGGAAACCTCTTATTTATGGTAAGTACACGGCTACTTTCACAATACTTGCACAAGCTGATCTGTGACATTGTCAGTTGTTCAGTGTCAATTGCTAATTCTATTTATTCTCTTTTTCAGGTTATGCATGTGGCAGTGCAAACACTGCAGTTTGGAACTAGCTAGCAGGTATTTGTTGTTAAAACATTTCCAGCAGACACATGCACATTTAAGGGGCAGTTAAACTGTAAAAATATTTTTATGTTCATCTTTGATATAATCCTAATGTGTTTCTTTCTTGTTATTCTTTCACCTTGTTTCTGCTCTAGATTAAAAGGTGTTCCATAACGGCAGGTCGGGCGCTTCTGCGCATCGTCTTTGCCGACCAGTCTGACTCTAGAAAACTGACCCTGGATTTGGGAATCCCAGCAACAGTTGAAGAACTGCACACATTTGTCAAGACATCTCTTCAATTGAAAGAGGACTTCCGTCTGCAATACATGGATGTTGACTTTAACGAGTTCATGAATCTTACATCAGTGTCTGAAATTCAGGATAAAAGCACACTGAAAGTAATTTACTCTCCTATATTGTCAAATATTGAGCCCTCCATCACTTAGTACACAGTTGACTCATTTGATAAGACCTCAATTACTGGAAGCTCAGAGTCTCTAATCCCTGCATCATCAATAGCCTCATGCTGCAGTGACGATATGGTGTATACGTCAACCATCCATCCCCTGAAGCTCAGGCCTCACAATTGTTATCCTGGCCCACAGTTTTTGTGGTTCCTAAGCTCACCTACGAGGCTGAATTTGAGCTTCATCTACAGAATGCAGAGTTTGAGACAACTGGTACATACTTCCAGCCTGGCCTAAAGCTGAAAGGAGTCATTCTTGATGGCCTAGCCCAAGAAATGATCAAATTCACAAAATATCCAAAAGACTATCAGTGTGAAGAGGTAGCTGCAGCGTTGACGAGGGCCCACCCTTGTTTGGGGCAGCTAGGATCCAAGATAGGATTTGGGGGGTGGAAACAGTCTCTTAAGTACAAAATGCAAAACTATCGTACAAAGCTTGGCCGTCTTGGACATCCTGAAATCCTTGTGAACTCCTTAAAGCACAAGAAAACAGGCCAAGGCAAAGCTGCAGCAAACATAAAAAAAACAAGAAAAGCTGAAATAAACTACATTCCTCTGCACCCAAAAGGCGAAACCACAGAAAGCTTGGAGAACGAGAGAATTGCCTTATTGTCAGAACTGAAAAAGCGTGACAATGAAGTGGTGATAAAAGCAAAAATGGAAAAAACCTTCTCTCACAGACGCCTTGAGATTGTGGAGCAAAGGCCTTTGATAGGGGACTTCAAATGCAGATGGCCTGCTCTGTTTCAGCAGAGTGAAGTAAGTAAATATTTGTATTTGTTGACAGTCTTTTATTATTATCCTTTGTGATTCATGTCTACATCCTTGCATGGTTGTGATTCTAATAAACAAGTAACAATTGGTTGTATTGTGCTTGTTAATAATATTTTTAAGGTGAATGCGGAGTTTTTGAGGATCACAACATCACCACTTCAATCAAAGTTCATGTGGCAGCTGGACCACTTCTCAGACAAGCTCTTGAAGATCTTCAAGACCAAAGGAGGACTAAAGGGCCACAAAATCAAGGAAGCCCTTGCAATATCAGATTTGGTTAGTATAAATGCAGAGAACCTCGTTTTTCACTGTATTGTTTTTGTCCATGCTCATATGAACACATTTAAGAAATTGTCTGCTTTTATAGTGTTTTTAAGGCAATAGCTTATTGTGGAAATGTAGGGGTAAGGAGTCCTGCTTAGGGAAACACACGACAGATACAGCCCTCTACTTTGTAGACCTGCTCTGTTGCACATGCATTGTGCTTAATTGTCTTTGATTTATCGCCCCTGCTTTAGTTTGAAAACATCCACATCAAGAGGGGGTGCATCCTGCGAAGCATCGCGATCTACCTCAACGAGGATCCAGACTATTTTTTTAAGGAGTATCAGGTATGTTTATCACAATATGTTTTCAATGTAGTGGTTAACAGTGTTACCCACAATTATAACCACCATTACTTACATTGATAATAAGAAAATTCTATGGCGCACACAACCCTATCCCTGCTTACATCTAAATATCTTATCACATATCATAAATACATGCAGAAATAAATAAATGTATACATTAATATAGGAATGAATATATGTAAGAATGAATAAATAATAATAAATAGATACAGAAGTAATTTCATCGGGCAAGTGTTAAAATAAATATAGAAAAAAGTGAATTAATACATTTATACAGATATAAATACATCTATAAATTAACATAGGAATACAATTGATAAATACAAATGTGAATTAAAACATGAATATATCTGGAAATAATACAAATAATAAATGAATGCTGAAATAAATATTTACATTTATATATAAATACATCTATAAATGAATAAATAAATATGGACATGAATACATATGTAAGAACTTATAAATAATTGAATAAATACATAAATAAAATAATAAATAAATGCTGAAATACAGAAATATATTAATCAATAGATTCATGTTTAAAAAGGTATGTGAATGCAGCAATTACTAAATTGTTAAAGGAATAATTACATAATCACATAACAAGGAAATAAATTATTAAATAATAAATAATCAAATACATATCAAAATAAGTAGGTAAATGCATAATTAACTACAGGAATAACAACAAATTACATGATTAAGTAGGGATGTAAACAAATAACTTAATACCTGAATTAATAAATAAGATAAAGTTGATAATCAAACAGAACATACAGGAATATATCTTTATAATTTATTTATGTAAACATTTTCTTACAAGCTTAATTTAGTTCTGTGTTGGAGGTCCTAACCTTCTCTGGTATCACTCAGGACATTTTTGTCCAAATTGGTAATTTTTCACATCAGATTTGGCTATAATGATTTTGTGTTTTTTCTAGATACTTTTTGGAATTTCAATTTTTCTAATCGGTCTCGAATACACTGTGTACAAATTACCCTAATTGTCCATTTAAAAAATGTTCCCACACTTCCCAAAAAGTGTGGGGGAAAAATATTTAAATATAATATTGTTATCATATCATTTTATCATTCAAGTTTTTGAAAGTGGACATTTTTATCCTGAGTGGCCAGATTGGGTAGTACATTTGAGTGATACCAGAGGGTTAGTCTAAAACTGTTTTGATCAATGAGGAGAGCCACATAAGTAAATCTGCTTCTATAAAATGTAGTAATTCAGGTTTTAGTTAACACATGTGTTGTATGCTTGTGTCTTTGTTCAGGCCACTGCCTCTGAAGATGCCAAGAGGGACATGGCAAACACAGTCATGGGCATATACACACTTCAAAGAGATGTGGATGGGCAGCAAGAGGACGTGGGAATTGTCATCGAAGGCAATATAGTCATGGACAACTTGGGCAGCGTGATTGTGGGGTTTGTCATGCTATTGGGACTTATTTATGCCCTGGATTTGAGCTTTCCGGACAACCTCAAACACACCTTCGAGTTCATGCAGAAGGTAGTGATGAATCTGGATGGGCACAAGCTGAATGGTAAAATCGAAAGTCTGAAGATCAAGTTGTTCGATTGAAATGTGAAAAAGAAGTGACTCATGAGTTCATTGTTGTCATTTTATTCACGAGTTTCCTAATCAGAGCAGATTGAGCCGTTATATCAATCATTTGTGCTTTTCTGTATTTGTTTGTTTCAACACACTGTAACACTATTTCCATATGTTGGTGTTTGCAGTGCACTCTTCATGTTATGTGTTATTGTCCTGTTAGAAGAGCAGTGCATACCCCTGTTATATTGTATTCATTGTATTTGGCAAAGGGAGATTTGTAAGTTAATTATAGGAGTTCCATTTCTCTGCCATTTTAAAAATGGTATTATCTTTCAGAAATGTTTTTCATCTTTCAGTGTGAATTCATTCATTTTAAAACACTATTGAATGGAGGATTGTTTTGAATAATGTGAATTTAAAAATAAAAAAAACTAAACCATGTTTTCTATCATGTGTAACACATTTTTATTAAATTATATTTAACCTCATTATTTCATTTTCAATTAATTAAATAGGATTTAGGTGGACTAGCATTATCTAAATTCATAAAGGTAATGTTATCATTTTACTTAAACTCTATTTGAAAAATTTGAGTTGGACTAACTCATTTACATTATACTGCATGGATGCCATTAGTTTGAGTTTGTGCCACATATATTTATTGGATGGAAAACCTGCCAACAATAAAATTGAGTTAATCCAATGAGTTATTTCTTTGAGTGAATACAGGGCCTAAGAGACCCATCCTTTTTCCCAACAAAAAAAAACCCCGCTCCTGCTGGTGATGAGGAAGGGCGAATAAGGCCTGTTTTGAGGGAGGCATCAATATAGTCCTTCATGGCCTCTTTCTCAGGTCCTGAAATAGCATATAGTCGACCCTTAGGAATTGTAGACCCAGCAATCAGGTCGATAGCACAGTCATAGGGGCGGTGAGGCGGAAGAGTCAGAGCCTTGGATTTACTGAATACTTCACTTAAATCGTGGTAGCAGGAAGGGACTGAAAGAGCATCAGGAAAATATATTTCTGGGATAGTTCCCTGCCTAACCCTCCCAGTGTTACCTCTTCTGTCAATCTCCGCTACCTGCTTAACACAGTGATCTCTGCAATTCTTTCCCCACCCCTCCACCCTCCCAGATTGCCAATCAATGTGAGGGTTATGAAGTTTCAACCAGGGAAACCCCAAAATGAGTGGATGTTGGGCTAAATTAAACAAGTGAAATGACATTGTCTCGTGATGGTTATCATCACATCTTATTTCTAAAGGCTCTGTTTGGTGAGTCACTTTAAACAACAGCCGCCCATCGAGAGCACTCGCTTCAAGAGGCTGGGGTAGAAGTTTAGTTTTTATGTCCAGTCTTTTAACTAAACCCCAATCCATCAGACTTTCGTCTGCCCCTGAGTCAATGAGTGCACCATGAGTAACCACATTGTCTCTGAAGTTTACCTGGATGCGGGTCAGGGTGCGAGGAGGAAAGTCAGAGGAAGAGATCCGGCTCACCAACGTACTCCTCTTTATTGGTGAGCCTCCTCTTTTACCGGACAAGCCGCTTGTGGATGTCCGCGCTGCCCGCAGTAGAAGCACAGACCCTCCTTTAATCGACGCTGACGTTCTGCCATCGAAAGCTTGGTGCGGCCCAACTGCATTGGCTCCTCCACGGAGCCAGGGGGCGCTGTTGTCCGGAACGCCGGTGAGGGGTGACGGGGCCTCCAAGAAGAAGTAGTATCCAGCGGCGAGCGTCTCCTCTGGGGAGGCGGATCAACCGCATCCTTGGATTTATTCCTTCTCCTCTCCGTCAAACGATTGTCTATCCGTATTGCCATGGATATGACAGAGTCCAAGTCAGCGGGCAGATCGAGAGGCGCCAGCTGGTCTTGTAGGGAATCCGAGAGACCGCTGACGAAAGCGTCAAACAATGCAGCGGAGTTCCAGCCGCTATCGGCTGCCATAGTCCGGAACTCGATGGCGTAGTCAGCCACACTCCGCTGATGTTGTTTCAGCTTAATCAGAGCCCGAGCTGCTTCCCTGCCCAATGCTAGCAGTACTGCTCAGAGGGCCGGAGCCCGCCGACAGCATAAAGCGCTGCCGGCGGACGGCCGATTCGCAAACCGGCCCGGCTCCGCCCCCCCGCGACCTTCGTAAAATGGCCGGACCCCCGGGCGGTCCCGGGACGGTCCCCGGGCCTCCGGCCGTCGCCGCGGCCCGCCCCGGCGACGACCCCCCCCGGCGACCGGCGGGGTTTAACCCGTTAGGGGGCTCCCGGACGCCGTCCCGTCTCCGGCCACCAGGTGGAGGTGGCGGGGGCGTCCGCGGAGCCCGTACGGGAGCCCTCTTTCCGCGTATTACGCAGCGACGCTAGTATTCGCTTGCTGTGTACTTGTACTTGGGGGGGGGGGGGGGTGTCCGTCAACCCAATATGGCGCCCACTTACCATATATTACACAGTAACACATGTATTCGCTTGCTGTGTACTTGTACTTGGGGGGGGGGGGTGTCCGTCAACCCAATATTGCGCCCACTTACCATATATTACACAGTAACACATGTATTCGCTTGCTGTGTACTTGTACTTGGGGGGGGGGGTGTCCGTCAACCCAATATGGCGCCCACTTACCATATATTACACAGTAACACATGTATTCGCTTGCTGTGTACTTGTACTTGGGGGGGGGTGTCCGTCAACCCAATATGGCGCCCACTTACCATATATTACACAGTAACACATGTATTCACTTGCTGTGTACTTGTACTTGGGGGGGGGGGGGTGTCCGTCAACCCAATATGGCGCCCACTTACCATATATTACACAGTAACACATGTATTCACTTGCTGTGTACTTGTACTTGGGGGGGGGTGTCCGTCAACCCAATATGGCGCCCACTTACCAAATATTACACAGTAACACATGTATTCACTTGCTGTGTACTTGTAACCAATATGGGTCCCACTTTCCGCATATTACACAGTAACACAAGTATTCACTTGCTGTGTACTTGTAACCAATATGGGTCCCACTTTCCGCATATTACACAGTAACACAAGTATTCACTTGCTGTGTACTTGTACTTATGGGGGGGGGTGGTGTGTAGATGTAGGTGCCCACTTGTAGATCCCACATCTCAGGGGAGGCGCTCTCCGTCGTGCTGAACCCCTGCCACATCCTAATATGGAAGCCCACTTGTAGATCCCACATCTCAGGGGAGGCGCTCTCCGTGGTGCTGAACCCCAATATAACCCTAACCCAATATTTCCGCCATCAAAATGTACAAACGACACATCAAATCACATCTACAGACCAAGACGAAGCGAATGGATATACAATATAGGGTCCCACCGGGGTGTCCGAAAACTCAATATAGGGTCCCACCGGGGTGTCTGAAAACTCAATATTGGGCCCACCTCCCACATATTTGTACCATGTACTTATACTTAAGGGCGGGAGGGTGGTGGGTGTCCGAAAACTCAATATAGGGTCCCACCGGGGTGTCCGAAAAACTCAATATAGGGTCCCACCGGGGTGTCTGAAAACTCAATATAGGGCCCCACCTCCCACATATTTGTACCATGTACTTATACTTAAGGGCGGGAGGGTGGTGGGTGTCCGAAAACTCAATATAGGGTCCCACCGGGGTGTCCGAAAACTCAATATTGGGCCCACCTCCCACATATTTGTACCATGTACTTATACTTAAGGGCGGGAGGGTGGTGGGTGGTCCGAAAACTCAATATAGGGTCCCACCGGGGTGTCCGAAAACTCAATATAGGGTCCCACCGGGGTGTCTGAAAACTCAATATTGGGCCCACCTCCCACATATTTGTACCATGTACTTATACTTAAGGGCGGGAGGGTGGTGGGTGTCCGAAAACTCAATATAGGGTCCCACCGGGGTGTCTGAAAACTCAATATTTGGGCCCACCTTCCCCACATATTTTGTACCATGTACTTATACTTAGGGCGGGAGGGTGGTGGGTGTCCGAAAACTCATTATAGGGTCCCACCGGGGTGTCCGAAAACTCAATATAGGGTCCCACCGGGGTGTCTGGAAACACTCAATATTGGGCCCACCCTCCCACATAGTGTACCATGTACTTATACTGTAAGGGCGGGCAGGGTGGTGGGTGTCCGAAACTCATATAGGTCCCACCGGGGTGTCCGAAAACTCAATATAGGGTCCCCCGGGGTGTCTGAAAAATCAATATGGGCCCACCATCCCACATATTTGTCCATGTACTTTACTTTGGGTGCCGAAAACAATATAGGGCCCACGGGGTGTCCGAAACTAAATATTGGGCCCACCT